GATATCAATGGGACCGTTGGCCGCATTCGGCGGTGACCACGAAATGCGAACCGAAGTCGAGTTATGGACTTCACTTCTGGGCGGATCCATCTTCTGTGGCTTCCACGGCATCGTCCGAATGGCAATGTTTGGAGTCATGGGTGAACACAACGCCTCGCCATTACAGGCGCGCACACGTATGTCATGCCTCGTGTAACTGGAGAGACCGCTAACCGTTTTGACACAACCATCGAGAGTGCAAATATCGGCATTCAGTTTATAACTATTGTTATTCAACATAACCTCGTAATAGAATATCTTTCCGTTCGGCAGTTTCGGTGGTTTCCACGAAAGAGACAACGAATTGTTGGTCACATCACTCACCGCCAGACTCGACGGCGCGTCCTCTGGCGAGTCGTGTTCTGTCGTCTCGTATTTGGGATCGCTTTCATCGCTCGGTCCGGAGTCGGAGAACGAGACGACAGTTATCTTGTATTTAGTGAACGGCAATAAATCGGTGAGAATGTAGTTCTCGACCGAATTGTCGACAACAATGTCTCGACTGCCACTCTTCGTGCAAATGTCCAGAATTTCGAGTTTACAGAACTTAATCTTATAGCCCTCCACAACGCGCTTCTGTGCGGGACAGCCCAACTTCCACGACACCGCTATACTCGTCGAGTTCACTACTTTCAGGTGAACGTCACTCAGTTTGTCGAGTCTTCCATCGATTGGAACAATACATTCAGCCCAAGACATGCCCGAAGAGGTAGTCTTTGTGTTGGCAGAGACTGCGAACTGATAATTAGAGCTAATATCTGGCTGTGAACGTCACTCAGTTTGTCGAGTCTTCCATCGATTGGAACAATACATTCAGCCCAAGACAACGGGCTTCTCCATCAGAAACACAACCGTCTCTGACGCTTGACTATTAATCTCGATTATAGACCGTCAAGATTTCGGTACCTGAACAACAATCACACCTGGGTTAGCTACCGAGGCAGCGTCCCTTTAGGTCGCGGCCTTAGAGTGCGACACCAGAACACAGTGTAGTTGACAATCGGACCGCTCATTGTGTTATTGCGAGGCTCTGTCCACTGGACTTCATATCGTCCGCCGCCGAAAGAATAGACGTCAATATTTAACGGTTTGTGAGCAATGATATCGTTTCGGTCAACACTAATGTATGAATGATTTCGGGAAACTCCCTGCGAGTTAACGGCTGTTATCTTAAAAGTATAGGCGATGTTGGACTTCATATGATTGAAAGTGAAACTCGTGTTATGACTCGTTATCATGTCATTGAATCCTTTGTCCAATAGATTACTAGCTCTCGATTTGCGATACATTTGTTCCTTGAACTCAATGGTATAGTGGAAGTCGTCTCCATTCCAATTCTCTACGGGAATGTGTTTCCAGAATAGAGTAATACTTCTCATTCCTTCCGCGTTTTTGTCGGTTTGAAAGGACTCTCGAATCAATTCCGGCGCCAAATATGGCACTGAAAGGAAGAATAAAAAAGATAAGAAAACGTTTGCATAATCTTTCATTAAGAGAATGAACGGAAATGAAAGCAAACAAACCGTCGGGCTTTGTCTGGAGTATAATCGTCGCGAAGTCACTCCAGTATTCGCTACTTTTTGATTGAATTGTTTTGCAACGAATGCTAATATTGTAAACCATATGCGGAATCAAATCCGTCAAAGCGAGAGATGTATTGTGAATGCCGTCTATTATAACGGTTTGACTTTTATAGTTATGATTAGAACTTTGAGTCTCAAAGTTCTAATCATAACTATAAAAGTCAAACCGTTATAATAGACGGCATTCACAATACATCTCTCGCTTTGACGGATTTGATTCCGCATATGGTTTACAATATTAGCATTCGTTGCAAAACAATACAATCAAAAAGTAGCGAATACTGGAGTGACTTCGCGACGATTATACTCCAGACAAAGCCCGACGGTTTGTTTGCTTTCATTTCCGTTTATTCTCTTAATGAAAGATTATGCAAACGTTTTCTTATCTTTTCTATTCTTCCTTTCAGTGCCATATTTGGCGCCGGAATTGATTCGAGAGTCCTTTCAAACCGACAAAAACGCTGAAGGAATGAGAAGTATTACTCTATTCTGGAAACACATTCCCGTAGAGAATTGGAATGGAGACGACTTCCACTATACAATTGAGTTCAAGGAACAAATGTATCGCAAATCGAGAGCCAGTAATCTATTGGACAAAGGATTTAATGACATGATAACGAGTCATAACACGAGTTTCACTTTCAATCATATGAAGTCCAACATTGCCTATACTTTTAAGATAACAGCCGTTAACTTGCAGGGAGTTTCCCGAAATCATTCATACATTAGTGTCGACCGAAACGATATCATTGCTCACAAACCGTTAAATATTGACGTCTATTCTTTCGGCGGCGGACGATATGAAGTGCAGTGGACAGAGCCTCGCAATAACACAATGAGCGGTCCGATTGTCAACTACACTGTGTTCTGGTGTCGCACTCTAAGGCCGCGACCCTTTCCCTGCGACGGAGCCATCGATTGGGTCCACACTAACAACAAGTCCATGGCTTTAGAACTGCCAGATATTAGCTCTAATTATCAGTTCGCAGTCTCTGCCAACACAAAGACTACCTCTTCGGGCATGTCTTGGGCTGAATGTATTGTTCCAATCGATGGAAGACTCGACAAACTGAGTGACGTTCACTTGAAAGTAGTGAACTCGACGAGTATAGCGGTGTCGTGGAAGTTGGGCTGTCCCGCACAGAAGCGCGTTGTGGAGGGCTATAAGATTAAGTTTTGTAAACTCGAGATTCTGGACATCTGTACGAAGAGTGGCAGTCGAGACATTGTTGTCGACAATTCGGTCGAGAACTATATTCTCACCGATTTATTGCCGTTCACTAAATACAAGATTACTGTCGTCTCGTTCTCCGACTCCGGACCGAGCGATGAAAGCGATCCCAAATACGAGACCACAGAACACGATTCGCCAGAAGACGCGCCGTCGAGTCTGGCCGTGAGTGATGTGACCAACAATTCGTTGTCTCTGTCGTGGAAACCACCGAAACTGCCGAACGGAAAGATATTCTATTACGAGATTATGTTGAATAACATTAGTTATAAACTGAATCCCGATATTTGCACTCTCGATGGTTGTGTCAAAACGGTTAGCGGTCTCTACAGTTACACAACGCATGACATACGTGTGCGCGCCTGTAATAGCGAGGCGTTGTGTTCACCCATGACTCCAAGCATTGCCATTCGGACGATGCCGTGGAAGCCACAGAAGATGGATCCGCCCAGAAGTGAAGTCCATAACTCGACTTCGGTTCGCATTTCGTGGTCACCGCCGAATGCGGCCAACGGTCCCATTGATATCTATTATCTGCAACTCATTCGTACCGATAATACAACCGTTGTGTACAATACGTCCGGAAAGAATACCGAATATTATTTGTCGTTAGACTGCGACAGACGCGACCAATCCGTGGAATATCATCAACAATATGCGGTCAGAATCAGTGCCGCAAACTTCGGACAAAATGACACCGAATATAACAGTCATTACAGCGATAGGACTAATTTGAATGCCTGTCTATTCAACAAACGACCGATCGGTACAGTAATAGGTTTGGTCGCCGGTGGAACACTTGGGCTAATGTTATTAGTGATGGTTTTGGTTGTATTGGTTCGATGGATGAAGAAACACATCCGATCTATTAATAGTCTTCACATTGAATTACCCAAAGGCCTGGAAGTGCCACAACTCGTGACCGACCAGTCGGACAGAGACAACGGCGACAGCTTTGGACCATTTGGTCGAACAGATAGTATACCTAATATCGCGTCCGTTAACGATAACGACGACGACTCGTTTAAGAACAGACACGGATCAGGTCTTTCGCACACAAGTAATTCGTCGACTGAGGGCTTGATATATAGGAACACTTCAAATAAGCCGAACGATGCTTTCCTTCGTATGGCGAGCAGTGATAGCGGACAACACGAAAGCGTTTCCTCCCATTTCAGCGGAGGAGAGGCTCACATGTCGTCGGATTCTGGCGTTGAGATCGATACTCAACTCTTGAGCATTGAATTAATAGAAGCGCAACGCGTCAACAAAATTAGTCCCAAACCTCCCCTTCCAATATTGGATGAGATCTCGTCTCGTAATAGCGATTCCAGTGGTAGTAAAGACTCGGGACTCGATATCAACACTGGTCTCGTCAGGAATAAGAGGAGACGGAAACCCAAGAATATTAAAACTAATTCTAAGATCTCAGCGCTAATTATGCCGACAAGAAATGAAGTGCAAAATCCTTTATATGACACACCGTTGGGACACAATGTCTGCATATACTCTCTATTGGCCAACAGTGAGCCCTCGCTTTGCGAATTACCCGTTAGAGAAGACGACAACATATTGACTGACTTAACGAAACCAGAGTTGGCTAAAAGTCTCACAAATATTGTTAATTATTGTAGTTTTTCCGATCCCAAAGCCAATTGTATTATGTATGACACGAACACTACCAGCAAAACCTCTTCGCCTAACCGTCCGTATTATAAATACGGAAACAAACGACAAAATCATATCCCAAACAATTATGTGACAAACTTTTTGCCCGAAAAGGGCAACAAAATGATCGTAAAGCCAAACGACGGTTACATCACAATCGAGAGTATTATAGAAAACGGCCAAACATTACCGCCGAAGCCGTTGAAGAAGCGTTTAGAGCACGACTGGTCGCAAAACAGTTACGACGCGGAGGTCTCGTCGACCTCTTCTAATGGCGACAACGAACAGACAGACCTCACGAATCAAAAACTATTTACACAAAATTGTATGCCATTTACTGATTGTGAGAAAATACAAAACATTAATGCGATCGACGCTCAACACACGGCACAAACCGATGCCATTCGCGTCGACCCATCTGTCCATCCCGTCTATCCATTGCGGACGTCATCGCAAGAAGTGGACGACGACTGCGACACACATATAAGTGATTCGGAAGAGTGGACAGCGATGTCTGCGCCGAAACAGTCGCCTAAAAGTGATGTGTTTGTTAGGGATAGTAATGGCTATGTATTGCACAATGCGGTGAATCAGTTGACCGGAAACCAAATCAAACCAAACCTAATCAGGAAATCAAACGGATATGTCGTCATTGAGACGAATGGTATCGAAATGAATGATTTTGTGCCAAATAATAATATTGTCAGTCATGTGACACAAGTTTGAGCTTTTGTTATGTTTTATCAAAAATTGTGCTAAATTTGCAATTTTCACACAAAAACCATTACATAAAGAATTATATATATTTGTATATAACTGTCTCATCTCATCATGAAATATGTTTTTATGTTCAATTGCTTTATCTCTTCATTAGTCATCTGAAAAGTCGATATTTTCTAAACATTTATCATTACATGTTTTCAAACATTTCCTATTTGTTGGCAAAATTATAGTACAATTCGGACACAAATGTGCAGTACTTGTGGTCAGGAATGAGAGAATTTGTACAAAAGAGCAATCGATTCACTAGTTTTATATACAATATATTTAGATGTTTGCATAGTTTTGCATAATGTAATACAAAAACTATATTTTGCCACAATTTTCTCAAATCTGACTCAAAGTAATGTATTTCTAGTCATATAATCGACTCTAATCTGGTTTTTATGTCTGTTTCAGCAATTTGTAAATATTATATTTTTCGCTTATAAACTACACTTTTTAATGTACCGTTTTCTCGAGTTTATAATTGCATGCAATTGTACAGTATGTCAATTTTAAACAAACAGAAATTGTTCACATTCAAGTTTTATTTAATATTCATTAATTGTTAGAAATATTTATTTTAGAATGAAGGCAATCTTCAGTAAATTTTTGAATTACTAGAATTTGCCTCTTACTGATTATTGATTATAATTCTATAGTTCAAACGCGTTTTTGAGAATATAAAAATTTATTCACATAATAATTCAAGCAATTATGCAATATGTAAGTGAAATAGGTATTAGATCCAAAATTGCTGATGACTTATAATTGGATGCAACTATAAGCCAGAGAAAACGGTATCACTGAATGATTTGTTCAAAACAAACAAAAATGTCAATTCATTTAGAGTTTACTATTTTCGCAATACATAACACTTGTAAATGAGATTCTTCTGAAACAAAGCATTGGAATGTTTTTGCTTTGAAATGTAAATACTATGTAAATCCTGAGCGCTATTCATATCATATGCTGTGGTATTGAAAGCGCGGCCACAAAACAAAGGGCGGACCCAATCCTACCGACGATTCTATCGATAGATAAATATTTTGTATGAATTGAAAGTTTTTGGAAAGTTTTATGAAATTTTCTTATTTTTCTCAAATGAAAACAAGAAAAAGAATTACCAATAGTTTTGTTATATATATTTGTCATACACTGAAGTGTCGGCCATTTGAAAGGTTACGCTAAATATTTATGTAATGATTGCAATCATTGATTCAAATCTAAATTAAAAGTATGTCTGAAATCAGATTTAGTTGTATTAGAACTCATTTTGGTGTAGACTTTGTTTTATATGTTTTTTGTCTGTAAAACAAAATCTATTTTCAAAAATAATTTATTAAATATCGTTAAGTAGAGAAAAAGCATCACTCGATACTCAAATCACTCATCAAATGATTGTTGGAATTTTAATTTTTCATATTTATTGTATATTTGAAATCAAATAAAAAGTTATATTAATTATAATGTGTTTTTGTATCATTTATTTCAATTAATGTCATTTATAATGCATTTAATTTCTAAATGAAGTTATTATCGATTTTAATAAAAAGTAAGTTAATTTATTTTTATACAAATTGTTTCCCCGTTTTGACGGATTTTGCACACGAATGTCAAATTTGTAAATACTTTTGCTTTTAATAATTAAATTATAGAATTATTTTAAAATGTTAAAAAGGAAACAGTCTTTTATTCCAATCACATGTTTATCCAAAATGTTATTATTGTATAAAAATTTAATAGACGACAAACTATTGCCTTGAAATGAGAGCTAATTTAAAAGTGACTAAAAGTTTGCTTTGAATAATATCTTCATTGAATTATAGAAGAATAAGAATATTAATATATCAATAAATATTAAGAATTAAGCTTTTTATATATAATTATTAATTATATGTTTAATTATGCTTCAATACAATGATCCAACCATCGGTAAATAATATTTTGCCGAGATGCTTACTTATCATTACGTTGAATCCTAATGTGCTTTAGAATTAATAATTCAATTAGAATTTAAAACAATATCTGATTCAAATCATCACTCATATACATAAGACGACCATGGTGTCATAATATTTTAATAATTAAAATCATTCGTTAATTTTATTGTAATTTTATTGTAAGAAAATAGTAGACAATTATTGTATTTTTATCCATTTTACATAATATCTCTATGGAGTATACCCTCAGGAAAATGTTATTTATCGACCGTCGGGTCATTAAATCTAATTATAATTTTTAATACTAATAGATATGATAGTGATTTGTTTGTGATTCAATTTTGTTTCAATTCACTCAAATATTTCTCGAGAAATTGGTGGTCATGTTTTGCTAAAAGAAAAAACAATGGTTTACTATATGGACATTTGCATAGTCTAAGTATTGACACACAGTATATTCATGAAGAATATTCAATATAAACCACATTTGTGTTGAAAGTAATACTTTGTAGATATGGTTAATGTGCGGTGCATTGCATTACAAAGTGGTTACCTTTCTCTAAATTCTCACATTCGATGCTATAATAGAGGCATTTATTGGTAAATTGATTCAAATATTATTCATGACAATTATAATGAATTATTAATAAAATTGATATAATATTCAATAAATACTAATCACAACTAATAAGGGATTGGATTGAAGTGAAGAGCCAGTGATGGCCCACATATGCGTATTGCAGAGCAGAGAGGATTGATTCAAAAATGGCTTTTTATTGATCACAATCCCAAACAACCCAAACCTAAACCCAAAGTTAAATCTAATTTGCAGTGCATTTCATAACACAAGCAAACATTTGTTCACTTTATTCACACACTTTATTCTATAACCAATTATAGCATTCATTTGCAGAGCTTATATTCAATTTGTATTAACATTCAAAACCAGTACCCAAAAAGACCTTGAATTTTATCACTAGCTAACCATTATATCTAATAAATCACTAAAAGTCTTGGAAAGCCTATCGAAAGTTATGCAACCGATTGCTATAACACACATCAGGTACTGAAAAACATGATTATTTTGTGTATATTTTAGTTTATTCTGTGACAACTTCCAAGTTTTGTACTTATCTCTTGTCTATTGCATATAAATTAACTAATAATTAATAAAATAAATATAATTTTAAGTAATTATTTTATTTTTATTCAATAGTTTGGTCTAAAAAAGTGCACAAAAATGTTGAATACTGTGAGAAGATCTATACTCCAGAAGCCGTACAAATCATCGCTCGATTCCATATGTAAGGCGTGTTTCGCAACTCAACTTCAGGAGCCGTCGGAGCCGCGGGTCGTGACCGCAGTTCCCGGACCTAACTCTTTACGATTGAAAGAAGAATTGAATGCCATTCAGAATTCATCGGCGGTTCAATTGTTTGTCGATTATACCAAATCCGTGGGCAACTACTTGAGCGATGCCGACGGCAATGTGTTCCTCGATATATACAGTCAGATATCATCCATACCTCTGGGGTATAATCATCCGGCGCTCCTGAAGGCCGCCTCCGATCCGAGCAATTTGGCCACATTTGTGAACAGAGCGGCGCTCGGAATCCTTCCGCCAAAAGATTTTGCTGACAAACTGAAGACAGCGCTTCTGTCGATCGCACCCAAAGGCCTGACTGAAGTGCAGACAATGGCCTGTGGAAGCTGTTCCGTAGAGAACGCACTCAAAGGTATAGCATTTTTTAAAAATAATTATAATTATAAATAAAAATGAATCAATCGTTTGCATGAATAGCGGCCTGTTTTTGGTATCAGAACCGCGAGAGAAAAGGTGCGGCGCCGAGTGCTGAAGACTTGCAATCGTGTCTCAATAACATGACTCCCGGCGCTCCTAAACTAAGCATATTGTCTTTCAAAGGAGGCTTTCACGGCCGCACATTCGGTGCCCTCAGGTTTGATATAAACTTAATCCATATGTCGGATGGTATTAATTGATAATATGAACGGCACCCACAGTTGCACGCATTCCAAGGCTATCCATAAGCTGGATGTGCCCGCATTTGATTGGCCTATCGCTACATATCCTGTATATAAATACCCACTGAATGAAAACGCGGCCGAAAACGACAAAACCGATCAAAAATGTCTGCGAGAAGTGCAAGAGTTGATCGACGAGTTCGGCCGAAGAGGCGTTCCGGTGGCCGGACTGATCATTGAGCCCATTCAGGGCGAGGGCGGCGATAATCACGGATCCGCTAAGTTCTTCCAAGGATTGCGCAAAATATGCACCAAAAATGGTGTGGCGTTTATTGTGGACGAGGTTTGCATACATTTGATAGTTAATTGAATAGAAAGACTAATTGATGTTAAACGCAAATATTAGGTACAAACAGGTGGCGGACCCACTGGACGTATGTGGGCTCACGAGCACTTCAATCTGGACGAGAGTCCAGATATCGTTACGTTTAGCAAAAAGTTACAAATCGGTGGCTTTTATTACAAGAACCCGTTCAGACCGGATCAACCCTACCGTATATTCAACACATGGTTAGGCGACGCCTCAAAGTTGATTTTTCTGGAACAAGTGGTTAAAGTAATGCGAGAACAGAATCTCATCGAAAATATTGCCAAAACCGGTGATTATATGCTTAAAGGCTTGGAATCACTGCAAAACAAATACCCAAACATATTGTTGAGGGCAAGAGGAAAGGGAACCTTCTGTGCCATCGATTTCCATACACCAGAACTCAGAGACAAAGCCGTAAAGGTTTGTCATATTAGCTAATAATTGGTGACAAAATTGATTATTAATAAATACAAATTGAATGAATTGATAGGTTCTGCACAAAAATGGCATTCACTGCGGAGGTAGTGGTGCGGCGACACTGCGAGTGCGAACAACTCTAACCTTCAACAACACTCACGTCGATATCTTCCTCAAGAAGTTTGAGTTATCGCTGAAAGAACTCAATTAATAATTACTTTTATCTTTAATCCACTATTGATTGCAATTCTTTTTGATATTAATGTCTTCCATAAAAAACTATATTATCTGTTATTTCGTCTCTAAAAATGTGTTTATAAAATATATTATAAAAACATAAAACAAAAATCGTTAACAATTTTAAGCTTAAAATTTTAATTCCAATAAAATCTGCTAAATATTACAATTAAATCAAATGCCTTTCATTTGATTACATCTCTAAACCTAATTCATTATAATTTACAAACAATTTGAGTGTCACTACGAGTGTCGGGCTATTACTCGAGTGGTTTGCGTCCGGGATCTGCGAGACTCCAACCGAGTCTAATATCACCCCATTTCTGACCGCCGAGGACTCCATTCTCCACTCGGATCTGTTCGATATCGTTGGGGAAAAATATTTGCCAACCTTCAGGGAAATTGGGTGTCGGAGTGTTTGCTCGAAGGTTGAGTACACCGAACAGAGCGCCCGCCAGCGCCACACCCGCACCGATTCCAGTGCTTCGGACTAAACACAGGACACAAAATACACGTCAAAATCATTGATTATAACACTAGAAAGCAATCAAACGGACACTTATAGCCCCAAATGAGACCAATAGAGGCGCCGCCGATGATGTGATTCCAGGGGTGTTCATACGTGTCGTGCTGTTTGCCCCTCAGGTTCGCCACACAACACACCACTGCCGGGTATATCAGAAATGAACCGCCTTTTGGATCAATTAAATCACATCATTGTTACACATATGTCATAGTAAGTGATGATTAAAACAAAGTACCGATGCGTCCGAAACAAGTGGCCACTCGTCCGAAGGCCTTCACGTAAGACAACTGTTTGTTTGCCATCACATCAAACATGGCTAAGATTCCGGCTGTTTATGCAAATGGTTTGGACATCAGATATAATGTTAACCATTCAATGAGTGGTCAATACAATACCCGCTTTGGCGCCAAAGAGGCCGTAGTTATAGATCTTCTTATGGCAGTCCTCGTAGTCGGGAGTGTCGAAGAAGTAGTACCTCTTCTTCGGTGGTTCGTCGTCGAGCTCTTTGCGGGTGTAATAAGCGGTCATATTTGGGAACATTCCGGCGGGGATTGGATACGGGGGCAGCCATATCGGCTTATGTGTCCACTTGTCCGGCAGTTCTGGCCACACCATTGTCACAATTGTCACTACAGTTGATCCCAATTAGCAGTTATAACATTCACTCAATTGTTATCAAAATATAAACACTATTTCTTAACGCAAATTACGTCCGCTTTTAGCACTCATTTTTGTAATTTAAAACTTTTAGTTTTATTAATGTTTTAGTGATTATAATTGAGGTAAATATTAATTTAATTGTAATTATGATCATTTTGTTTATAAAATTAACACAATATTTGCGTTAAAGAATTTTTGGATAACTTTAAAAACACAAGTTTTTAATTTAAAACAAAAAATAAACTTTTATTTCGTTTAAACTTTTGTTAATATAATTTATTTTAATTACAGAAAAATGACTTTTAATTTAAAATATAGACATTTATTGTAAAAATATATAACTATAACAAACAAATGGTATGAATGAATGTGTGGTGAATGTGATGACAATGAATGTTACAAATAGTGCCACAACTGGTAGAGCGGCGAAGACCTCTTCGCGATGTGATAAGCGGTTTCTCCGCTTTCGTTGGCGAGAGTGGTGTCCGTGTCTTCGTTGAAGAGGAACAGCTCCACAAGCGGTCGGTTGTTGTGATTGGCGGCCAAATGGAGAGCAGTATTGCCTCCATTGGACACCGCGTTGATATCGGCGCCGCAATTGATGAGCAGATCCGCGGCCGACACGTGACTCCATTTGGACGCGCAGTGAAGTGGAGTCCAGCCGTCGGTCGTCCGCGCGGACACATCCGCACCGCTTTGGATGAGTAATCGCATGACTTGGATGTGATTGTTATACGACGACCGATGCAGTGGTGTATAGCGATCGCTGTCCACTGCCAGCACCAGACGAGGGTCTCTCTCCAGACACTCGCGAACTCCTAATAGGTCTCCATTTTCGGCACATTTTAATATCGTTTCGTTTGCATTGAAGACAATGTCGTCATTCTTGTGATTGTTGTCATCGTTTGAGTTGTCTTTCACTTCTTCGTCGCATTTGTCACTCATTTCTTCATTCAATACCTCATTAGTGATAACTTACAGCTTATTTGGCACTCATTTATAACAAATGCTCAGTTAATCATCAATTAGTTAAATAAAATGTACATATAAAATGACCATGATCAATTAATATGGTTAATTCGTGGTGAATGAATGGTAACAGTAATGCACTCTATGTTTGCCATACAATAGCATTGAATGAGAGATGTTTTGAGACAATCTCTGCATTTTTCATAACAAATTCATTGCATTATTTCTAGTAATGAATGGTTTGTTTAGCGACCGCTTGGAGTGAATCGATGTGTGCTTTTAGTGCCACTATTTTGTTGACTACTTTTTTGGGTTTTTAATCAAATCATAACAAAACTATTTACTAATTATTACAAAACATGTTTTATTAATTGAACACAATTTACATCATATGAATGAATGTGTTTTAACGCTTTGTTTGATATATTAAAAGCCATTTGAATGAACACAAGTCGTGAAAGGGTGTGAATTGATTGAATTGATTGCGAAAGTGATTGCATTTTGAATGTTTGGTTTGAAGTATAATTTGGTGTCTAATTAGTGGACGTGTTTTGTATTGGATTTGATGTCAGTATTGAATACAATGGAAGGACCTCTTTGTAAGTGGACTAATGTCATGAAGGGATGGCAGTATCGATGGTATGATATCTTAAACACTACAACCTCTTAAGTGCCATCAATTCAATCATTTGTCATCAATTTGTTGTCATTTTTGTTTTGAATTCAATTATCTTTTTAATTAGGATTGAATTTTTAAAAAAAACTAAATATAAGTTTTTGGGCGTAAGTCTAGACTTTGGCATAAATGAAGTGAATGTTGGGATCAGTTGTGGAGATAATTGGTTGTGAATTGGAGTGAAGAGTGATTATGAGTTGCGATAATTGAAGTCATTGTTGAGATAACTCTTATATAGATTAAGTCAAACCAATTGATTATTGCATTGAAAGCTAATTATTATTATTTTTTGTCTCATATGTTGTATTAATTGATTGAAGACTTAAATACCATTGCATTGAACGCACACTTTATTTGCTGACAAATCATTTAATTTATGGCAAAATAATTATCATATGTTTTAATAGTTATTGAATCTAATATCGCTATAATTGTTGTTAAATAGGTTTGTATTGGACGACAACGCGGGTCTTCTTAGCTATTATACGGTATTTGTATTAATATTATAATTCATTACTTCTTCGGTATTTAATATAAAGTTTTTTAAATATAATTTAGTCGAAGGAAAAGATGATAAAAGGCGACCGAAGAGGTTGTGTTAGGCTTAAGGTAAATATAATTTGTTTGCAAAAATATATACTTTATTTCAAATGTATATTTCGATTATTTGTTACTAAAAATGGGTTACAAATGAAATATTGAATTTTGATGACAACTGAAGGGCGCCGTCATTGGCATCGATGACGAAGACGACAGCACTTTCACCATAACAGTCGACGGAAAGATGTTTCACTTCCAGGGTTTGTAATCATATTTTTTGCATCTAATTCTCTCTGTCTTTACCCTCACGTCTGTTGACATAATTTGAATACCAATATTGCTATTAATATGCGAACAATCGCTGACAGAATTTCTAGAATTTTTTATTATATTTTTTATTGATTTAAAACAATTTTTAGTTTCATTTTTATATTTTTGATGATTTATAGACTATTTTGCGATAAAATACTTTTTTCAGTGAAAAATTAAAAGCAAATTCAAGTGTTTTTTGTACGCATTCTCTGAATTGGTTTAACATTTATTCAAAAATCAAATAATTGAATGCTTTATCATATGCTTTGCGCAAAACGTCAAACAGTGTAAAAAATAATAGCGTATTTCAATTGCGATTATATAATACTCTATTGAGATATGATTTTAAACAGTATAATACGGACAATACGTTTGTTTCCATGTCATCAAAGGTACACAAATAAAAATCGAAATTCAATTAACATTTTCTCGTTTTTTCCATTAATATTTGCCATCTTTTCTATCAGAAGAAACATAATTAAAGAATATATTCATTATATCATTATTATTAATGCTTTTATTCTAAACTTTATGCCAAGAATTTTACAATAAATTATTTTTTAAAATATTGAAATGTCTCGTAAAACACAGTCTCATCCACTCTTATAGCCAACGACGCCGAGGAGAGGAGTCGTTGGGTGACAGCCTTAGAGGACACTATCTTAAGACACACACACCGGCGACGGATCAAAAAGAGTGATCAAAGCCAAGTGCCAACACTTTCCGATTTTGAACGTAAACTCACAGAAACGGACACTTATTTACAGTTATTGATAACTCAAAGCAAACAATTGGATCAACACATCGATAGCGCGTCCAACGAGTCTGAAAAGGAAAAATACATTGCTATTAAAGACAAGACATTATCTTTATTGGATGGCATCAAACATACTATAGTTTTGCTACAAATTGCAAAGGTTTGCAGAGTTTAGTTCAGTTATAATAATATATTATTTTTTAGAGTTTTATTTTGACATAAAATTTAAAATAATTCGTAAACATTTCAAAATTGGTATCCAATCAGAACACAACACATCCTGTGAATGGAGTTTTCACTAACAGTATCGCCACAACTAGTGTCGACTCGACCACCAATTCATCGCTCAGTGAAGAATTAGTGAACAATGAGAACCAAATAGAGATTAGCAGTGATAACAGAGTGGTGTCGTCTCCCATCTCAAGCCGTCCTCCATTAGAGCATAACTATTCTGTGAGCGAATCGGTTCTCAATTTGCATTCAGTGCCAGAAGTGTCTTACAGTAGCAGCGATGACGACGACTTCTTCTATGACGCACCCGAAGAGACTTCGCCCACATCTGTGATGACAAAACCAATTGTCGAAAGTGTTACTCAAGTGATCGACAATTTAGAAGACATGAGTTTGCAAACCGTTAACTCGAAAGACGACAAATCCATTGATTACGACCTGATGTACGAAAGCGAAGAGGAAGAGTTGGGAAGCATCGAAGGCCACGGATCTGTTATCTCGCATCTTATATCTCAGGTGAAGATTGGAATGGATTTAACAAAAGTAGTTTTGCCGACATTTATATTAGAGAGGCGTTCATTGCTTGAAATGTATGCCGACTTCTTTGCACACCCGGATCTCTTTGTTAGGTATGAGATCATTGCATAGACTCCCGATTTGATTGCAACTAATTTTACCATTGATTTGGTAGTATTACCGACTGTCCCACACCTCAGGACCGTATGGTTCAAGTGTTAAAGTGGTATTTGTCTGCTTTCCACGCCGGACGCAAGAGCTCTATCGCTAAAAAGCCGTACAATCCTGTGTTGGGAGAAGTATTCAAATGCTATTGGAATGTTCCCGGCGTTGAATCCAAGGCATGATATTTTAAAATTAACTTTAATTATAATGTTTATGAATTGTTTTATTTGTTTTGTAATATTAGGAAAACAAAGCTATTGAGGGTCCGATTCCGTGGGCCAATACTACAAATCTTACATTTATTGCCGAACAGGTCTCACATCATCCGCCGATCTCTGCTTTTTATGCCGAAAATGTCGATAAACGGATCATGTGTTCCGGTATTTAATTCTAAAGTTATAAGCGTTAAAAATTTTTAGCCATTAAATAATAATTTATTTATAAATAACTTAAAATTATAGGTCATATTTGGACGAAAAGCAAATTCCTTGGCCTTAGTATTGGTGTGAATAATATAGGAATCGGTTCTATATATTTGTTAGACAAGGGAGAAGAGTACGTTTGTACGTTTCCCAGCGCTTACGGCCGCTCAATACTAACGGTTCCGTGGGTTGAATTGGGCGGACCCGTCACTATTCACTGCCAACAAACCGGCTTTTCTGCTAACATTGAATTTCAAACTAAAGTATGACTTTTTTAAATACAATTCTCACACAATTGCTTAACCATTTGGTATCCGAAACGTCAGCCCTTCTATGGCGGCAAAAAACATAGAGTTAGTGCCGAAGTATTCAGTCCTCCGCCCACCAAGAAGTCAATTGTGACGGTTTCGGGCGAATGGAATGGTTTAATGCAAGCGAAATGGACTCAATCGGGCAAAAGCGAAGTGTTTGTCGACACGAAAACGATCCGAATAATCAAAAAGCAAGTGAAACCCATCGGTCAGCAGGAAGTGTACGAATCTCGCAATCTGTGGAAAGAAGTGACGGCAGCGCTCAAGAAGCAGGACGTGAGCGCCGCCACAAGCGCTAAGTTTAATGTCGAACAGAATCAGAGAGAACTCGTCAAAGAGAGACAGGAAAAGGGTGTCAAATGGGATAATAGGGTAATCATTGTTTGTCATAATTGTTTTTAAACACCATTTTTATGGACTTTTTTATTATCTATCAGGTCTTCCATAGTTTGGGTGAAAATTGGAATTATAATAATCCGTTGACAACAAGAAAATAGTAAATTATTTTATATTGTATATAAAAGGTATGGCAAACGGATGTTAACTGGAAATTGCTATAATAATAATAACTTGAATTTCTATGCAATAGTAAAATTGTAAACGTTTTGCACGTATATCTAATATAAGGCGTTATGTCTACCGATGAACTGTATTTCAAGTAACGATTTTATATTTTAACAAATAATGTTTTTTAATTTTTTAATGTAATTTTGAGACAAATCTGATCACAGAATTACAACCAGAATCCAGTTTACAGAGACATAACGACTGTTAGTTTCACTGCAACACGTTTTGCATTTTTAAAACCAATTTGACGTCATATATAATAGCGAATAATTTCAATACTTTTACTCAATTTTTGTTAATTTAAAAGTCAATTAATTGTTGAGAAATCCATTTCACAAAAATGGGATCATTTTTAATATTGTGTAAATTTTTTATTATTATTTGTCATTTATCTTGATTTATATTCAAAATTACTAGTCTATTGGATATATCTATGAAATTGTTTAATGTTTTAAAACATTATTTTGTTATATTTATCGAAGAACTCAACGAAATTCTTGAATAAATGTTAAATTATTTTTATGTTATGTATATTTTTTAATACAATTAACCTTTTATTAAATATTTATATTTAGGAAATTATAGGTAAATAACAAACACAACAGATATTGTGACAACAAAACCAAAATAGCATTTATTGTTAAAAATATGTTACAATTCGTATACAAAAGAATGTTATAATAAAAATTAAATCAAACATTATTTTTAATGGATAAGAGTTTTATATCAAAATATGTGTTGATTTCGAAAATAATAACTTACAGTAAATGTGTGTTATATAAATGAAAACAAAGTACACATCATTTGGTAAATTCTGTTATATAAGAGTTAGGAAAGCCTATGGCATGCAAACAAGTATTTCAATTAGTAATTTCAAACTTAATGAGAGAAACAATGGATCGCAGAGTGTGTTGTGATTGTGTGGTTAAGCCTTAAAAGGGAAGTTTAATCATTTGATTGCTGTATTCATTGCCAATGAGTCCCCGACACGTGAGACTGAATTCGTTGATCACTTCCTTAAGCTTTCGTTTGTTCTTCCGTTGAGAGAGAATAAGTCTAACGAAATGTGTTTTCTTCTCGTGGTTGACGTGAGCGGTGGGAAAACCGTCCTTCAGTATGAGTGCATTGACACAACGCGTCAGGTTATCGAAGTATTTCCAGTTGAGAGCCATCACGATGTCGGCCATGTGTTCGACCACACATCGGGGCGAGTCATACGTCCCGCCGATCACCACAAACACCTGTCCGACCAGATTCTCGATCTCGTCGTTCACCACTTTACACATGGGCTCCACTTCGCGGCTAAGTATCACGAATTCGCTAATGAATGCCGAACTGTAGCGTACGGTCGGCTTCTCAGGCAATATGAGGGCAGACATCGCGCACCGGAATAGTGTCGACACGTCCAACGATGTACTGCTGAATAACGCGGGAACTCTTTTCACTATATTTGCCAAAACAGAGTAAAACACTTCCAGAAGTGCTGTCTGTTGTCTAATATCTGTTTGACAGCAACTCATCGTATGATTACATATTTCCACAAAATATTTGTTTAAATCGTTTTGCAAATCCACGTCTTTTCCAAACAATGTAATCAATTGTTTGGAAATGTCTAAAATCGATGTCTGACCAGAGATTTTGAACACAAATAACAATAATTCCAATATCTTTGGGACGAGTGGTTTAATTTCGTCCAATAGTGTTATCACTGACTTCTTAATACATTCACAGAGAGATTCGGTGATCGCCTCATCTGTTGGCCATTTGGTACCAATACTGTTGAAAATTGGCAAAACCTATGAAACGAATTAAACATTAATATCAATTAATATAGAAATTAATAAAACTCTTCAAAACCTGTTCTAGAATTATATAAATAGGTTGAGGACTGGAGTTATGATCTTTAAAAGTGGTCACAATTTGTTGTTCGTCTCCGGAATCGTTTCTCTTGACGTTCACATCAAGTGTCGAGAAGAGCATCGCTAACATTGAGAGCTGTGCCGACACGTGTGTCCGCACCGTCTCGTTGTCTATATTACTGGATTCGCGGTCGCATTGATTCAATACGTTGTGAATATCAGTGATAATGGGAGTCAAGAGTTTGTTTATTGCAATCATTATGTCTTCGAGCGGAAGGACAGACAATGTCAGACCAATTGAACACATTATTCTTGATTTCTCTTTAGGCTTGAGATGCGATTCAGGGCTTAACGACTGATCGCAAACGGAAAGTATTTGTTGAGCAAATGGTCGTAAAATGTGTTGACATTCACGAGTGATGTCCTTCAGGGCCATCGTCGCCGAAATGGTCACGTATTCGGTAGACTTGAGACCAATCATAAGCAGTGTTAAGACATTTGGTAAATATGAAGAGTTGTTAGAAATCCATTCGGCATAAGCGGTGAGAGTGTCCATCGCTGTGGCCAACAGTCGTGCGGACGTCACGTAAGCGAACGGAATGTTCGGCAATGCGTTAAACAGTTGTTGCAAATACACGGATTCAGACGGACCTATGTTTTCCGCCACTGAACTGAACGCAAACAAAACCGCTTCGAAATACTGCCACGACTTGTGCTGATCCGCAGCCATAGAGGACGCCAACTGATTGGCCGCCACTTCAAAGTGCGATAACAAACTCGAAAGCATCGAAACTCTCAATATATTGTAACAATACATGAATGAGTCGCCGATGTCCTGACGATAACACCGGAAACTTTCCCTGTCATAGCTGTTCCACTCATTCTCGTAGACACTGTCCATAGGGTATCGCACTTTCACCAAAAACGCGTCAATTAGTGAATGAAATATCGGATTAAATAGTGTTAAATAAGTCTCAATTCGCGATTCATCCGAAGCGATGATGTCGTCCTGAAGAGTGTACCAAAAATTGAATGTCTGTTCACTACAGGTCTCGTCGATGGAGTGATAACCGGGTGTTGAACTGCACTGAAGTACTACTGCAATGGCCTTAAGAATATTGTGTCGATTCTCGGGCTTATCGATCAAAGTGTCCAAAAGAAGTCGCGAATGAGTTTCAGTGATTTGAATGAAAAGTGTGTATATATTGTTAGACATCTCCGGATTAGACTCTTGGATGGCTTTATTGAGAGTGGGCTCTAATCCCATCATATGGTCCATCAGTTTTAAGACAAGATTTGGTTGTTTTTGCATTTCTGGATGAGAATAGATGGTAGTGATGGCCTCAACCGCCGTTTGGCTCACATTTTCATTACAAACCGACTGAAGAACTAACAAAACAATCTCTTCGTGATTGTCAGCGATAAGCAAAGGACCCATATTTTGAGACCAATTGGAGAAACATTTGATGGTTGAGAGTCTGATCTCATCGGGAAGTTGTGGTTCAGACATAAGCGACAAAACAATGGCGAATATCTGTTCGTTAAACTTCAATAAAGCACTTCTGATCACTATTTTCTGATGTTGTGTCATATAAATGGTCTGAAACTCTTCGGGAATCGCAGACAACAGATCCATAAGAGTTTGCAAAACTCTATTGACCGGAATGTGAGGCAATTTGTTTGGCTGAAGAGTATTGACCAGATCTGTGACCGCATTCTCCCAATTGTTGGCCACAGAGTGGATCACATAAGCGGCTAATGAGACCACAATCCGTGTCACCACAATCTTCGTGCCCTCGAGTGACAGATAGGAGATCAAGAGTTGCAGCAATTGGTTCTTGAGATCCGATTGTTTGTGTGGATCCAATTCGTGGTAGAATTTGGTCACTTTGGTGTAGAGAGTGGAGGCGCCGAAGTACTGCACCTCAAGAGGTTTGCTTGGATTCAACAGCACTGACACCACATCCCACGCCTGGGCCGACACCTGAACACATGTCAGGTACTGATTGGCCTCCGAGTGCGACGATTGGCTGCTGTTGTGGTAGAACTCGTGGATCAGTCTCTCGATGTCTTCTATCTTCAAATCCATTGCCGATTCATTTGAGCGAAAGGCCAGCGATTGAGTCCCGGAAGTGATTAGCAATACATTTGTCGGCAATGAATGCAGCGATTGATTGATTCAATCATTCAATGAATAGTCAAATACTTTTGGATTCAAAACTAATCGTCAATTCATTTGTATTTCAAAGAAATCGCTGTTTTTGTGCTTTAATTGCAAAACACTTTCACAACCAATGGTTTCGTTGACCGCATAACAGGTGTCTCTCTATTACTCGCTTTGACTCCCCTTTCACTACAATTGCGAAATTGTGTGCAAAAAATCGATACAATTCTCGCTTTGCTTTCAATGAATAAAACTTATAAATATTTATAACTTTTTAAATAAATTACTTTTAAAATCAAATATGTTATAAATTTTGTGTTTAGGCTTACATTTGAATTCAATGTAATTATATATTCAGTGTTTTTGCATAATATTTATGTTTAATATAGATTTTTTTGATACTAGAATAACAACTGGCGCCAAATCATGAATGTAACTTTACATAAAAAGAGCAAGGGCACTTTTACAGTTATATTATTGATAAATGTAGTTTCTAGTGTAATAAATTAAATTTAATATTTATTTACGTTTAACTCTCTTAGCGTTCAATTTGTATTTGCAATTAATTTATACAAATGAAAGTGATTTGAAAAATCTTATCAAAAATTTCCATAAATTAATCGAAACGTTATTTTTCTTGACATGTTATTTACCGTTCGCAACACTTTTTGATAAAATTAATATTAATTTACTTTAAACATTCAATTAATAAACATTGTTAATGATATTATTAATTAAGTTTATATGAGTTAGTTTAGGTTAGTGTTGATTAAAATTAAATAATTAATTCTTTAATTTAAGTTTATTTTTTTGTAAAAGTGTCATAATCTATGACTTTCACAGTATTTTACATTTTTATAAAATAAATTTTTTTGTTTATAATAATGATAGAAAATTGCTGATTATAAATACATTTTCAGTGGTTAACAAAATATCTGATTTTTAAAACATTTTAATTATAATTTTAAGTTATTTATAAATTGTATATTTTCTGAGATTGTGGTGTGTTTTCAAACAAAACATAAATTTATAAAAAGATGTTAATTAATGTTTAAAATTAATAGCGAGACGGGAGTCGAGATGCATATAATGCCTGTCTATTGTGTGTTTAATTAATAAAATAAAAACATCAATTTATTACTGAATTACCCAAATGTTGCATAATTTAAACAAATTTATTTATAATCGTTGAATATTTTATACAAATAGTATATATTCTCCGCACAATTAATTGTCATTTAAGCTAAGAATATGTAAAATGCAAATAATATTCTGCAAATTCTCGTAATATTCAAATTCTTGTTTCAGACTCTTGATTAAAATTAAACAATTATTAGTTTTCAGTTTATTTATAGTGTATTTCGAGGAAAACCAAGAGTAAAACAATATTTTGAAATAAATCCAAAATATTTTTTCTTTTTTTGGCGCAAAAAATAATTAAATTGTTTCGCATCTCATCTTCAACTATATCTCTACAAAAATACTGATTAGAAATCATTGAACCTTTTTTTCGACGAAAACAATTTTCAGACATCTTTATAAACAACAAAAGTCTGACTAAATATTGTTATAAAAATTAATTTTATTCTAATTTCGCTAATAATGAGGGAAAATATTGACGAATAGTTAAATATGTTTGTGATTACAGTATTTTTCATGGATTACTGCTATTATTATTAATAACGTTATGCGGAGAGGAAATTATAGAGAAAGCGCCCCAAAGTCTAGACCTGTAGTCAAATATTGGATGAAATAAATACTAACGATTAAAGACTGTTTGCAATCAAATCAGACATCTTTCGGCACTTTATTTTGTGACGAAAAAGACATTTGTCTCCACTTTTAATATCATATGAATAGTTAATAAAACACACAAATAGTCGGAGAATTTTAAAGCTTAGTCTAGTCTAGTGTTTGATAAATGTGTTCACTTTCTGTAAACATTTATCGTTTCAAATCCTGTGATTCTTATATAATTTGGAGACAAATGGCTTAACAATCGGTCTTTAATTAGTTTTGTTACCAACAAATTCAGTCTAAACGCCGACTTCTATACCTAAACATCGCTCGTAATTAACTAATCGTTGATAAATTCTTATCCAATGTTCAATACATAATAAGTTATTTATTATGATTACTACCGTATTATAAGTGGCATATAGTGTACATATTAATGCAGTTATGTAGTGTACATAACTGTAATAAGGGTAACAAATAGTTTTATTATTGATATAAATATTTCGATTGTAGTTATAATCAGAGAATGTCTCAAATGCTTATCAAACAAATTGAGGCACTTATGAAAACTTGTGTTTGACTTCTCATTTGATTATGTCTTCAATGCATTACTTATAATAGTTTTTATCATTTGATTGTAAATCAACACAAACTTACATTAAATATTTGTCATCTGATTATAACTTCATAAATAATTGCCATATAATTGCATAGATTGTTATTTCCCTATTACAATAACATGGAATATAATATATTATATTAAAAATAAAGCATGCTCATTTTAACAATAGGCACAATATTGCAACAATTAATTGCTAACTTGATAATATAACCAGGCTTGTAAAATTCTCAAAAGTTGGATTATAGCTTAAAAGCAAACAATTGACTAAACACTAATCCTAACGTTTTAACATAAATAAAGTGGTTTACTCATTTTGATAAAGGGATTACATCCAGGCACACATAAAAGCATGTGATTTGTAAAAACAATTTATATTTAAAATATGCCCAATTTTGTCAATTATTTCACACAAACTCTTCATTACATTTAATTTACTCTTCATTTCAATCAACTAAACATTATATTATATAACATATCGCTATACCGGTAACCGGTATAATATGCCGTATTCCTTAAATTTAGCAATGATAATTTGAAGCATACCGGTAGTGTTGTTTACAGTGTATTATGAAACACAAACGTGCTTGGTTAATTTTGACAATTAATATAACCCTAGTCAAATGATTCTTTACTAATGAGAGACAGGGATCAAATGGGCGACCATTAAGTGTGCCACATATGGTCATGAATATTATGGTAAATGATGGGCCCGAAATGTAACCATGCTTAGTTTTGCCCTCAACAGGAACGCTACTGTAGGCCTCAAAATACATTGTGAACTGTATAGCAAACTGTCGTCCAATCAGATTGAGGCAAACCATTACTTTTATATACAAGTTTAGTAAACGTCACAATAGTGTACATGTTTTTACAGTTTAACCTATTTATTGCTACAAACAATTCAAACTACTATTTATAGTAATTAAATACAGACTTTGATCATTAAGTGAATTAAATTAACGACAATTAATATTAAATAAATAATTGTAATAATTATATGAAGTATGTGTTGAATGAGTGGACGAGTAGTGTCTTTGTGACGGTATATGTGGCGCGAAGTGTACGACAGGTCTGTGTGTCTGAATGTATGGCAAGTATTGGTTGTGTTTTTTTCGGCGATCAGTGAAGGGATGACAACAGACCTGAAAGTCCTCTCAACTCATACTTACATACAATCACTCAATCGTCGAGTCTTTGTGGCCGAAGATCTCGCTTACCATCGATGCTCACCATTAGGTCCATACCATTAGACATCACCCCAACTGATCCAAGCGTACATTGAAACCGCTATTTTGCGGACCAAATGTGTTGTCGTTTGGTTTGAATTGATTATAATTTGAGTTTTAATTGTGATATTGTTTTTGAAGACATTGATTGTCAAGTGTTTGCCTGAAGACGTGTCGCCAAACTATGGGTCCATTCAGTGATAGTGTAGTCATTGTCTGAATGTGTGATCAATTGAATCCATAGATTCGCACAATTGTTGAACTTTTTGTTTCGCAAAAAAGTATATTTGAGTCCTATTTTTGACGGCATTTGCGTTGAATCCAAACAATTATTATCCAAACAAATCGCGAAACGGTCTCCAAATGTGTGTTTCAATGGCTCTCAATCACTGCCTCACAACTCATTTGGTCCTAAAGTGATAATATAATGGGCAGCTTATCATCCATGCATGCGAACAACAACAAGGATAACCAAAGTGGTCAGTTTGAACTCATTTTACATAACTATATACATGCATCAAATGTCTTGTACTTCTCTCTCGCTTATGCCGAATGGCCGCCAGCAGTGGTAGGACTGCCAGCACTTGTAGTCCAGAGAGTCTCACTGACGCCAATCCGCCACCACTTCTTCACAAAACCTTATCAAAAAAGTCTAATTTTGTTTCATTTTTATATATTTTTCCTAACTGTTTGTCTCTCTCTCTCTCTCTCTCTCTCTCGTCTTAAATATAATGCAAATTATCTCTTGTGATCTGTTTATGACATAACTCTTGGTCTAAATTGAGGACAATCTTAAAGTACATGCAATTGATTGTCGTTTAATTATCACCAAAAACTAATGACAACTTAGAGTACAATTCAATTCAATACATTTTTCAATGAATACATGTCTTCTTAAATAATAAGTTAATTAAGCGTTTGATTAATCAATTCAATGATTACTTTATTGTTTTTGTCATCATTTGAAAAACACTTGAAAACATTTTACAGTCAAAGATATGCTATCATTGATAACATTATACAGACATAAGTTTAATTAAATACAAGTATTTTTAAACATTTTAAAAATGTGTTATAAAATGTGCTCAAAGTTTGAGAATTGAAATAAATGTTATTTACGAAATGTCCGGTTCTTTAGACCTGAAAACACAGTAAGTTTGTGAAAGTTGTATGTTTTTGACCATTCAATTGGTTGTAAAAAATAAGTTTTGATATTTGTTTTAAAGCGATAAATATGTAGTGGTTTTAAGATATGTTTTTCATGAATGGTAGACAATGGCGTGGATTAGTCTAAGAATGGATGTCTTGACAAAGAAGTATGCGTTAATTATTATGTGTTT